ATAAATATTTTTCTTGAATTATTATCATATTTCCCCTACCACCATCCTCACTGGAATTAGGTCACTGAGAGTCCTCTCTTTTAAGTAAGATTTTCTGAACTTCAGTATGTGTGGAGTCTGGTTTGAATTGTGAATAATGGCTCATTTCAGTTCTTATTTTACCAAACTGGTGAAGAAGCAATTTTTTCTCTGTGGAAGTAAATTTTCGACATAGCTTCCTGCTTTTCTTGTATCTAATATGATATAAATAAGAGAAGACTCTGCTGATAGCTGGAAAGGCAACAAAACCAATCCCCATCCCAGATATTTAATTTTATATTCAAGTTTTGGCTTATTTCTAAAAAGTACATTTATTTTTCTTTCTGACAGTAAGAAATACAGTGCTCAGAAACACCTTTGGTTGACATCTAAGTAAACCATAAACTGTGAAGATTAAAATATTTCAATGAATATGTGCAGCTAAAAATCTGCAGTCACTAGTTATAGATGATATATTTTTAATCTTTACTCTGTAACACTAGATTGCCTTCATGTAGCAAGGAAAGATGTTTAACAAAAGCAAATAGTCATTTATTTAAAAAATGTGGAGCTATTTAGCAGTTGGCAGGCCTCCAGGTACAACAGAAATCATGGTGACAAGCACATATGTGGACAGAAGATCCAATCAGAGCAATTACCTAGTTTATTTAAGTGTGGGAGCTGGGTGCAGAAGAACACAATATCTTTCATATCCTTTATGTGCCTTTTGCATTGTAGATATGGAGGTAGTAACTCACTAGAAATTGACTGCAATTCCATTAGGACAATGGTGCTTAATTTTTGGCACTAGAGGCTGGATGAGTAGTATAGGGCCAGTCTGTGGGCCAGATACCACATATGGGGCCAGTCCGTGGCCTGATCCAGGATGAGATTGAGGACCAGGGTTGGTCCACAAGTGTAGTCTGGCATGCCATACCTTGCACAGCCTGACCCTGCACGCTGGCCTGACCGTGTGCTGTGTCATCTGACCTACAGGGCTCTCCACAGGTCTGGAAATTTGGCAATAGAAGACCTGCAATTAATGTTGCCACTGCGCCCCCACTGCCACATTTTCAGACCTGTGGGGAAACCCATGGGCCAAAGGATGAGCACCACTAAATTAGGACATGCAGTGATCCAGGATCTTTGGGCTAATGTCAGAAAAAGTATGGGATCAAAACTCCTCTTCAGCTGTTGCCTGTCTCATGTCATCTAATCAAATACACCAGTCAAATAAATGCATCACATCTACCCAAAGAACCTTTCCTGCTCAGTCATCTAAAGGATACATTTACATTGCAGTGTAGTGTAGAGCTTATTTTGAACAAGCTGGCTAGCTCATCAGCCTGGAGTACCACATAGGCTAATTTTACACTGTTTAGATGTAGGACAAACAAACTTGTCTGGGTATCTCTATGTAGGCAGAGGTGTAGTTTATAGCTGTGTTGGTCTAAGGACATAGGCAGACAAGATTATTTGGGTAAATCCAACTATCTTTTAATAGACCAACTCAGATAATTGGAAAAATTCTTCTTTGCAAGCTTTAGGGTACAAACACCTTTCATCAGGCTGAGGAAGTCTCTCTATGTATGCTACACTTCAGTGTACGTATCCTGAGTTTCTGCCAGTAAAGTTCCCTAGGCACCCCTTTGTCTGCCTTTGATCATGAGTAGGTGCGTCTACATGTGCCTCTTTAAGTGGGCTTAGCCTAAAATTGCCATTTTTAAGGCACATTAAAGGCGCGTGTCTACATGTGTGCACCCTTAATGTGCCTTAAAAATGGCAATTTAAGGCCACGCAAGCCTAAATTTGATAGCTAAGCTAGCTAAGTTTAGGCGCAAATAGCTAAGTCTCATTAGCTCATGTGTAGCCACGCTAATGCACATTAATGCGGTATGCGTCAATGGAACGACACCGCGTTAATGCACATTAATGCATCTGCACATGTGCTAATGCGACTTAGCTATTCATGCCTAAAGGTAATGCACATTAGCGCATCCACGTGTAGATGTGTGCCTACATCACCTTAAGAGGCCCTAACCAAAGACACGTTTAATTTAGGCATGTGTAAATATATGTGCAGACTCTCCCAGTAAGTACAAGCACCCTAGTTTTGTCAGGGCTGAGCAGTTCAGTGACTAGCTGACCTCTAATTCCCATTTTGCCAACACAGGGTCTAAAATTCTTAGATGTCATGGAAAAATAGTTTTGGAAGGAAACTTCAGATGTCACCTAGTTCAACCCCCTCCTAAGGCAGGATGATCCCTAGCCAAACGGTCCTATACAAATCCATTATCTAACATATTAGTAAAACTACAGTCAACCTTAACACACCCACAGGACATAATACCCTGACCTATCACAGGTAAATCAGGACCATGGCAGCCGGTTGTTGCAAAGGTTCTTAAATTACACTTGAGAGATCCAAGGAAGATTCCTTCCCCTCCCTCCAACTTCAGAGGAAATCACATCCCCACCCCCATAGGCTATACCATGGAGTAAATTCCTTCCTGACCCCAAATATGGCAATTGGCGTGACGCTGAATAGGGGACAAGACCATTTAGCTAGGAATTTCTGGGTCTCAGTTGCAGCAGGAGCACTGGCACACCTGTCAAAATCCCCAACCTTGGCTGCAGCTAACACAAGTGGCCAGAGGAAGGTGGAAAAAAACCAGACAAACCTGATGTATGTAGCAGCAGGAGTGGAAAATAATTCTTACCAAGACCCATGTGGAAGCCAGCAAAGCCCAGAAGGATGGGAAATACCCGTAATAGAACATACATATGGCTACTCCTACATCATCCCTAACCAATGCTTATCCAACCTCTTCTTGAACGTCTCTAGTGACGGAGATTCCACGACTTCCCTGGGTGGTCTGTTGCACCACCTCACTGTTCTAATAGTGCAGAAGATTTTTCCTGGTATCCAGTCTAAACCTACTTTGCGGCAACTTCAGGCTAACTTCTTGATCTGGTTCCTTCCCAACTCGTTGAAAAGAATGACTCTGGGTCCCACTCCTCAGCACTGCCTACTGCTGAGATGTGGCAGCTCCCTGCTCAGCCTGCTATCTTTTGTGGCTCCTACTCTTTGGTAGCTACCTCTGGCCCTGCATAGTATAGAGAGAATGTAGATGCCTATTTTAGGATTCCTTAAGGTTAGAAACAAATTCAATGTGTGGATCTTGCCTACTGTCCTTATAGCCTAGAGTCAGTGCATCCCATATTCTAAAAGTAAGTGGGTCGAGGTAAGTTACACGTCGCCAAAGGATATCCTAGAAGAAGCAGTATTTGTGAGGCGAGGTTTTATCTTTTATTAGATCAACTTGTTTAGCTAGGAAAAAGAGGAAGCAAAGTTTCAGGCTGGATTAGGATATCCTTAGCAATGATTGTAATAAGTAACAACAAAATAAAGGGATACCAAGAACTATAGGTAGAGCCTAATTCTGTATTTACAAGTACTATCCTGCTGTGGAGTAAATTAATTTATTCCAGCCTAATAGGGGCACACGTGTAAATGCTGAGATGTTTACTGTGCAGCTAATTAGTCAGCTTTGTAGTAAATGGCTCAAGTAGACTTGCTGTAAGTAGAGCTATTAGAACTCTATTGGCACTCTACTGGGCGTGAGCATAAGTACAACACTTTTCCTTAGCTTTCATGAAAAGTACTGGCCTGGCTTAAGCACCCAACTCCAGTTGTGGGCTCCCAAATGAGAAGCCCAAGTGTAAGAAGCTACCTTTTAGAAATAGGACTTAAGTTCTGTTCTTGGCTGTATTTTCTACTGCCTATCTTAAGCAAGTGCTTACATAACATGTTGGCTTCAGTGGATCTCGTACTGAGTGCCTAAGTGCCTAACTGAGGGCTGATTGATGTTTCTATTAAATGAAAGTGCACCTAAGAATTATCCACCGCAGTGCTCATGTGAGTGTCTTTTGTGACTGATCTCAAAAAGCCTATAATCTGTAAAAACAAGTTATATATGAACAAAACCCCCTTAGGGAAATTTACTTATTTCATTGGCATAAAGCTTTCGTGTAGCTGTCAGTATTGCAGAGCCAAATGAAATTTCCAGATCAAACGTCTGGAATCATGTAAAACAATAAACCTATATTTCTTTTTAAGATCACTCTTTTCCTAATTACATTAATTTAGCAATATGAAACAAAGTGTAAAGCCCAGAAAGTGCAATAGAAACAGATGTAACTATAATTTGCTCTATTGATAGCCTGTCACCATTGTCAATTACCTATTGAAATGAAAAATGAGGTATTTTTAATGGAGTCAATTACAGTTGTTAGCTAGAATTTAGAAATTATTTTTATTTGTATTTTATTTTTCATGAACCCTTATGCAAAGTTGATGTACCCTAGTGCTGCTGTTCATGTCACTTTAAGCAATCAAGTTTGAGCTACTGTGGTAGATAAAAGAGGGAATTACTGGCAAGATGTTCCTAAGGTATATATATGGAGTTCACTCCCCCTTTCCCCCCCAGCCCAAAATAGACAGTCTGTTGACCTTCCAGGAGCACAACATGACTATTTTGTTTAGCAAGTTTTGGGACTGGTTTAGGAAATTGAATTTGAGGTTTTTTATGGGAATAGGATGGGAAGGTAAGATTAGGATTTGCACCAGTGTAGTGGGATCTGGTTTAGGATGGGGCTTCTGTGTACTGCTGCAGTACAAATAAATAATAGTAAGCATCTATTTGTGTCTAGTGATTGCTATGTGGGGGAGAGGGAGAGATGCTTTATTTATTTATTTATTTATTTTTACCAAGGAATAATGCTTTTGTTTTTCATTTTCAAATTAAACACAACACTGCCTAGTACCAAGGATCATCATTCTTTGAGGTTGCTTTAATCCTTCTATCAAAAATGCCTAAATCTTTCCTAGAGTAAAAATCTTTACAGTAATACAGAATATTTGAGTGGGTTGGTTTCTTGCCAGGCACTTGTTCCAGTATAATCTCTTTTTCTCCATTAAGTCCTACTCTAGCTATGGCCCACAGGAATCTGACTGGGAGCTGTAATGTTAACTGTGGATGTAAGATTCATGAGTATAAACCTGTTTGTGGATCAGATGGAATAACATACTTTAATCCTTGTCTGGCTGGCTGCATCAACGGTGGAAATCAGAGCTCAGGGGTGAGTGCATCACAAACTTATCCCAAATGTTGCAAGTCTATGCTAGGGTCATAGATCAGCTGATCCTGGCTGGAGTTGGATGGATAGTGCCTCTTGAAGGCTCAGATCAAGTGTAGTATCATAGAGAAATAGGACTGGAAGGGACCTCCGTAGGTCATCTAGTCCAACCCTGAATGGCATGCTTCCCTCTTCTTGGCTTCAGAGAAGGCCTGTCGCAAGCAACCCTTATGCATACATTTCCTCACAATTCAAGAGCTCAGAACATCAGTCCAGCTTTCAAAAATCTGGGAATTTTGAGCATAAGCTAGTGCTGCACTAAAGTATTCCAAATTAATCCTCCCTTTCAAAAAGTGATTTGAAAACCACCATGGGAACTTGCATTAATAGAATGCATTTATAGCATGGTCCTGGGGAGGCTGGGCTTGCAATACGAAAGTGCAGGATGGCTATGTGAATGGCTTGGGACCCTGCTAATAGGAAGATACAGGACTGGAAGGGACATCCTTGCATCACTGAGTACAGTTCCCTGCTGTCAGGCTGCTATCTCATATAATTCCCTTTCATAAATTTATTGAGCTCTTAAAGGAGATATTTTTTTTGCCCCCATTATTCCTGCTTATTGCAAAGCTTCTCTCCTCTGATGGTTCTTCTTCTTTTAATATACGGCCTAAATTTATTCATGAGTAATTTATACCTGTTTCTTCTTGTGCCAGCATTGTCTTACTGCTTAAGTGTTGCTTCCTCTCCAACATTTAGTCCCTCTGGGCATTTTTACATGAACTCTACAGGTAGGAGGGGAGGACACTTTTAATTAGAACAGCTCCGAAAGCTGCTCTATTTGAAGTACCGCAGCGTCTTATGTACCAGTGTCCCTGCACTTCAAAATGGCACTGGGGACACTTGAATGAAAACTCATTCGACAAACTTTAATTCAAGTGCCCCTGCCACCATTTTGAAGTGCAGGGATGCTGATATATGAGACAAGGAGGCTGGCTGGAGCACGGTAATTATCATGCTCCAGCAGACTTGATCCGATTGTGCTGTAATTACATCAGCTCTGGTGTGCTGTAATTGAGTCCCTCCTCACACCCTCCCCCATAGCATGTGTAATTACAGTACATTGGAGCAGCATCGCATCACGTCTACAGGCACCCTCAGTGTCTTGAAAGAGAGCAGTCCTGTTCCTTCTCAGCTTCCATTCTGCTAAGCCCTTTTAGTCTTCCTCTCTTCCACACTACATTTCCCTGATGCCAGTAGCTCTTCTCTGCAGCCATTCAGGTTTAAAGTAATTTTTCTTGAACATGGGTGACCAGAGCTCTACACTCATTCAAGATGACTTCTTACCAGTGCTTTTTTACAACAGCATTAATAATTCCTCATCTCCTTGAAATACCCACCTGATACAACCTAATCTTTCAATGTCCTGAACCTGTAGGAACTGAACATTTCTGGCCAGTGCCAAAGAAAGCACTGCATCTTGAAATTCATGAATTTCCAAAGGGTTCATAGGAAAACAATGTAGTTTGTTTATAGTTGTAAACAAATGAGGCTGAACTTAATTTAGCATTATATATAGGAGATAATATTAGATTCAAAATTGCTATTAAAAATACTGTCTCTAAAGAATGGATGAGGAAGATGGGGAATATCATGAAACATAGATTTGATCAGGAAGTGATCTTAGCATCTAGGAAGCATGTTAATTATACTTCATGCCCTTGCCTTCATGCAAAGTCAGAGAAACAGGAGAACTAGCAATCCTACAATTATAATTTGTTAATTTTGATGGGATAATATTAAGTGTGAAGATCCAGATAACTCATTCACACAAAGAAGATTAGAGTGCTTTCTTTTATTTAAGAATTTTGGGGGATTGGGCACGTTTTTTGGAGCCAACTATTTTGACATGATTAAGCCAAGTAAAAAATGTGGCTATCATTCAGGAACTAGGAGAAGCCATTACAGAAATAGTAAGGAAAGGGCTGGCAGGAACATGTCAGTCACAGCTAGAAGAGACTTGAGCAGTCCAGTCAGCACAGAAACATGCTCGATGAGTATGGAACCTCAAGTGATCTGGCTTCTGTAGTCTCTACTTAAGTTTGGTTCATAATCATCCTTAAAAAAGGGATAGCTGATGTAGCTGCCAGTGAGAGCAGAGAACTGGACTCAGCAACACACAAGTTTCTGGGTTCCAGGTGCAAACTGATTTTTCAAAGGCTTATCATTGGGCCATATTTGTACAAATTTTCGAAGAGATGGCATTTCCCTGGCAAACAGGGCGCTGCATATCAACTGCCAAAGTTCCTGGTAGTCCATTTAGTTTAAAGAGAAGGTTACAGGAGTTTTTAAAATGAATGAAACAAGGCCTTTTCCTCAGAACTGACCAAACTATTTTGTTAGAAATTATAGAATGAAAAAAAAAATCAGCCTGGGGCAGACATGCACCAAATAACATTTCAGTCTAAATAGTTAAAGTTTGTCAAACTATTCAGACTCTGTTTTCAGTTGCTTGTAATGGGAAGGGTTGGACAGCTTTAAAATTAAGCCATGTTCTTTGTCCTATCTTTACCTAGAAAAATAATGTTTCAAGTACAGGGCATGGCACTTTTTCATTGTAGAGGAGAAAACTGTCCCGCATTAAGTGCTGTGCACTATTGTGGTTGAAACTGTGAAAGCCTTGCCGTATGGATATTTTATGGTTTTCCCGTTTTACTTTCCTCAGGTAAGAAATTATACAGAATGTGCCTGTGTCCAAAGCCGCCAAGTTATCACTCCACCAACAGTGGGACAGCGCAGTCAGCTCAGAGTGGTTATTGTCAAAACGTACCTGAATGAGAATGGCTATGCTGTTTCTGGGAAGTGTGATCGAACCTGCAATACACTTATCCCATTCCTAATATTTCTTTTCATAGTTACCCTTATAACAGCATGTGCCCAGCCATCAGCAATCATAGTGACACTCAGGTAAGAACTTAGCTTTTCTGCCTCTCTGTCCATCCATCCATTCATTTTGTACCTTTAACCTTAGTGTATGTATCATTGCAGTGAAAATGCACTGCAACACTACAAAAATCAATGAAACTTTGCCAATTGCACTTGTTTAATGTCTGATCCTTGTAATTACATTAAGTAACAGGAAAACACATTTTCTCAGAAAATAAATATCCAGTAGACATGGCGCAAAATAAATAACATTGGTACATTTAAGAAATTCATATCTTCTATAAATAATATTTGTATTTTCAGATCAGGATGCAAGAAAGAAATGGTAAAGTTTTTCTAATCTGGATTTCAGCCCAGAAAGAGTTGTTTAAAATACCCATTCATTTAAGTTTCACTGAACAATTGTTTTGTCTTTGTTTTTTTTCTTCCTGGCCTTATATATCTACCTGGCTTGGCTACCCAAGGGGACAGCTGAAAAGGGTCTAGATAATGCCTAACCTCTGGTCTGGTGGTTCACTATGTGGAAAAGCTGGAAGTGCTAGTTAAAATCATCCTCTGCTGGTTTAGAAAGATATAAAGTCATTATGCATTTTCCAGCAATAAGTTTATAGCTGGTTGAACCTTTTTAAGGTGGCATAGTTAATTCCATGATGCACATCTATCCCATCTTTTGTCAGCACCCTAGTGATTAAGGCACCCTCCCAAAAGAAGAAAGATACGGCACTGCACTCCCCATCACAAAAAGCTAGTAACCCAGTCATAGCACCACAGGCTAAACAGACTGCTATGTTTAGCTGATAGGCAAATATTCTAGACAAAAGCAGAACAAGTAGTGCTATGGCTCTCAGAGTTGGATGCTTCCCTAGCAGAGAGGAGTGAGCTCTTAATGCCAATATTGTTTGGAGATTTTACAAAAGAAAGTCATTGAGAGAACTGCGTGAGCAGTAGGGAGCTGGGGGAGGAGAGTGGTAAGACTAGGCATCATCACAGGGTAATTCACCTGTTAGAAATTTGAACCAGTGGCAGTCCTCATTCCAGTATTTCTTCATGCTGGAGAGATCCCTTGGAATCTATGACCCAGAACCCCTAATGGAAAGGTGTTTATGCCTACATTGAGAGAGGAAAAGAATGCTGGCTGCTGTATTTACCCAAATTCAAGATTACTTTGAGTTTAAAACAACTCCCCAGAAATTAGATTCTGTCCATGGAAAACAACAAATGCATTAAGCTTTTCCAGGTACAGAATCTGATTAGTGGAACGTCATCTTAATTTTGTCCCACTCACTGCTGTGGCAGGGAAAGCAGTGATGGGGCTGGGGAGGGGGTGAAGGGCCTTGTGCTTGTCTGTCTCTAAAGAATGGATGACGGTCGTTTGCCCCATCCCAGTGCCTACCCCTGCTGCTGCCTCTCCTCTTCCATGTGCCCCTCACCCCTCTGTGCTTCTTAGCTCGGCTAATATGAGATAAGCATCAGCTCTGTTATTAGGTGCACAAGCGCCACTTCATGCTACAGAGTTAGTGAGTTGTGTATCCAACCTGCTAGAGAGGCAGACTGGCGAGACACTTTTGCTAACTGAGTTTCTGGCTGCTTTCATTCAGTAGTAGAGGCTTATCATATTAAATAAAAAAGGCTGATTACTGAACCTCTGTTACTCTGTGTCTGCTACTGTGACCTCCCCCCACTTTCCCTTCCTTGTTCTGTGACCCTAAGGCTGCACATCAGCAATTAGATCGATATCAGCTGATATGGTTTGTTAATAATTGAACATCAGTGTTGGCCCGAAAGATCTTTATCAGCGCACCCCTAGGCAGAACGCTAGCAGCAAGTCTTGTAGGACTTGAAGAGTCCTAGGAGAGCAGCTCTGTTTCCCTTCCTCTTCTCCCTGCACCCTCTGAGTAATATGACCCCATTAGATTCCTAATGATGTCTAGGGCTTAGAGACATGACCTCTAATCAGCCATTAAGAAGAGGGTATCCTTGATGTGCAGTGGAATGGGAATGAAAGAGATCTTCTTCAAAATGGAGAGGAGGTTGAGGTTTCTTAGTCACAAAATGCCTGTGAAAAAGCACTAAGGAGACCTCACCTATAGTGGCTTGTGTGGAGTGGAGTTCTCCCTCCTCATCCCTGCTTGAGCTGCATTTGGCTGCCGTGCACATGATCACATGGATTTGCTGCAGTTCTGAGGCAAGTGGTGAAGTCTCCACAGATGGGGCAGAGAGGTGTCTATGCATCTTTGTGTGCCCTAGTAGGTAACAGTACAAGTGTTCTTGTGCATTGCTTAGCAGTGGCTTTTGTAATGTTTAGGAGAGTCCATTGTTCTCCTTGGACAGCAGGATCCTGGGGCAGGGGCATGCCATGTACCCCACAGCTGGGAGATTGCAACAGTTGACTCCTCCCAACAGCAGGAGTCCAGGCTACATGTGAAAATTAAAGCTGGGTAGAAAGATATAAAGACATTATGCATTTTCCAGCAATAAGTTTATAGCTGGTTGAACCCTTTTAAGGTGGCATAGTTAATTTCCATGGGTAGTCTAAATTAACTGCACAGTTAACCAGGTAATTGCATAATGCATGCAACGTGTAGAAGGGGCCTAAGTTAAAGCAAATTACCTCGAATTTCTGGCATTATTTGGAATTTCATGTGCTTATGTTTTGGAGGACTCCCTAGAATGGGAACTTTGCTCTGAATTTGAAAAAAAGTATTGTCCAGCTAGGGCTGCTGAGGGTGTATGCTTTGTGACCTATAAACAGAGCTATATGGTTTGGAGATAGTTGTGGAGAACTTCCTGAGTATTTATGTGCCACAGGCCCAGGGTAATTGGTACTGCCTTTTAGCACAGCTATTGAACCTGGCTGTACTGCAGCACTTGCAAAGCAAGATGTGATACAAACCATTTCTAGTGCTTGACATCTTTGGAGCATCAGGGATTGTCTGAGACTGAGATTTTGGTCACTTTACATTAAGTAAGCAATACATATTTTGCATAATTGAATGAGACAGGAATCCTGTGGGGAAAAAATAGCCCACTCATGTAATTTAAGACTGTCATAATACATAGCCACAAGTTTTGTGTATCAGAAAGGCATTACTGAAACCATAAGCTACTTTGTAAATATGTTCAGGAGTTTCATAAAAGACTTCAGGCCAAATTTGATACTTAGACAGAAATCCCAATTATGGAAGTGGAGGTTTTGCTGGATGGAGGACAGCATGGTTCATTCATTTGTTAACTAACGTTCAGTGTTAACACCATTAGCAGATACGGAGTTGTTTTGTCAGATGTTTATTACAGGTAGATGACCAGAAGAAAAATGCTAAAATGATTATGTGCCATGGCTGTTTTTTTCAAAAAATTCTCTCTCTGCCTGCTAGGTCTGTGGAAGATAGTGAGCGGCCTTTTGCACTAGGAATGCAATTTGTTTTATTACGAACTCTTGGTAAGTTTTATAGTAAATAAGAGCACTGATTGCTACCTGTACAGAAGCATTCATATAATCATAAAAAAGTAAGGCTGGAAGGGGCCTAACCATGCTTAAAGTGGGAACATTTCCTCTCTGTACCTTCCCAGATAAGTTTGTTTAACCTGCTCTTAAAAACTTAAGGAAAAACCCATTATACAATGCTACTGGGCATTGTACCCAAAACATCAAAAACACCTTTTACCTTGCCATAGGTAAAGCCAGGGGAACAAGGACATTATCAATGAAATATTTTTTTTTGACCTTTTTGTATATTATTTACCATAAGTTACATTTTGAAACAGAACATCCTTTTGTTGAGTCCACAGGGTCCTGTGCTGCTTCTGGGTGCTGCCAAAAAGAAGTGGCAGGTGCTGCTCCAAGATGCAGATGCTGGAGCTAGAGTGGTGGTTCCAGCAGCAGTGGTACCTATCCATGTGTTGACTGACTGTGCACGGTGGCACAAAAAACCCCATAAACAACCCAAGCCCAGTATGCGCATGGTCAGGCTGAGGAGGAGTGGCAGCTTCACATGCTCCCTGTGTTACGTGGCGAGCAGAGGAACTGTGCTGCATTGCACCAGCAGAGGCAGGGTCAGAGGCAGGCATTGTACCCCCACTTGCAGCCATTGGTCAGCACACTGACAGGTACCGCTGCTACCAGAACTGCCGCGCCAGCTTTAGCGTCTGTGCCTTGGAGAACAGCACCCGCCACTACTACTTCTTGGTAGCGCCCATTGGCAGCATGGGGCCCCATGGGCTTATTTCCAGCTCACTCTTGACCGATGCTGGGGAGGCAGGAACACAGGGATGGGGTTAGAGGTGGTGCTGGGGCCGGGCTAGTAACATCTAGGGGGACTGGAGGCTCCCACCCCCTCAGCTGGCACTGGGCTGCCTGGCTTGGCTACGCTGCTGCAGGTTGCAAACATGTTCACCCAGTGAGCCGTGTTAAGGCGCCTTAAGGTGTGCATGTGTAGATATGCACCTAAATTCCTGTAATGCGCCTTAGGCTAAGGTGTATGAAGTTTAGGTGTGCATAAATTCACGTGTTGACATGCCCAATATGTCACATTTCCTGGGAAAGCATGAGCACTTAAATGGGGCCAAGTACCCTGGTAGCAGCCTACTGAAATTAAAGCATTTTTCTGTGAAGAGAGCATTTCTAGGAAAGAACAATTTGAAAATCATAACTCTTTCCTACCACCTTTCATAAGAGTTGCTACCTTTATGGGTTATAGGTAGGGCCATTCTGGGAGGGCAAACTGGGGCAACTGCCCTGGGCCCATGCTTTGGGGTGCCCTGCAGAGCTGGGTGGAGAGGCTGTGGCTGCAGTTTACCCCATCTGCCCACCTGGTGGGTTGGACAGCTCTTTGCCTGTTCCAGCCACCACTTGTTCCACCGTGTCCAATGTGCTGGGGCTTTCACTCCATGGCGTAAGTGTGCTGTGGGACAGGGAGGGGGGCCCTGCACAGGCTGCTTTGCCCCAGGTCCTGCACCCTGCTGGGATCGTCTCTGGTTATTTCATCCCTTAATGTTTTCCTTAGTCTACGGGGAAATTTCTTTGCTATAAGTCACTGTATTAGGGACTAAATGCTTTTACACTGTTGATGTGTCTAATATCACACACTTGGTAGTAAATTGTGTTGTTGGGAAGATGAATGCGCCAGTCTTTTAGCTGTTTCAATGTATGTGAGAACAGGGGAGCAGAAATAAAAACAAAGATTTTCTGCCAGGCTTTTGCTTGGCTGTAGCATATTATATCTTAATTCCACAGAATAGCTTATGATATCTTTCACTTTATTCATATGGGTAATATATACTAGATTCTTGGATAAACCATCATCATTAGATCCTAAATATATATATTTGTGTTTTCATTCATCCTCTGAGCCAGAGTGAATGAAGTCTTTTCAGTCTTTGGTTTATGCCTCCTATAGCACATGAGACCCCAAGCAATGGCCAGCCCGGGCTGGTAGCTTCCAAGACAGATGAGCTCAGATATATTCAGTTCAGCATGGCTATAGGCTCCCAAAAGAACAGAGTGCCATAAAATGCTTCCCCTGTAAGAAAAGAAAAGCCTCACAGATTTGTGAAGACATGTCCTATACAGCAGCTTAGAACATATTTTGCCAAAGTATTTCAACTAAATCGAAAAGAACACATTGCTCCTCCCTCAAAATGTCAGGGATCTAATCTAGTGTCCATCAGTGTCAGTAGAAAAAAGCTCCTTCTGTTGATTTTGATCACAGTGGGATTGAGATCTCAGTTTTACAGCAACCTACAGTAAACAACCATGTATCACTGGGCAACCGTAAAGGTTAATGGGGTTGTGTAAACAGTAAAGGTGGCATACTGAAAAAATACTAATGAGTATCAAACTCCATTTGATACCATCAGAAATGGCATGTGACATATTGTGTCAGGAGTGATCATTTTATTCCATCATGTTACACAGTAGACATCAGTAAATCATCATGAAAATTTGGTGATATTGCCCTTCTCTTGGAAGGTGCTTGGGTGCAGTGACTGTCTCTCAGAGGAAGTGCCTACTGTACTGGAATTAACAAAAATTAATACAATATTCAGTTGATATATTTTGTAGTTCATACTTAAAAAAGTTTTTGAATACGATTTTTCTAATGCATATTATTTGTGTTACTATTATTATTACAGCTTACATTCCTACTCCAATTTATTTTGGGGCTGTTATTGATACTACATGCATGCTTTGGCAACAGGATTGTGGCGTGCAAGGATCTTGCTGGGAATATGATGTCACATCCTTTCGTTTTGTCTACTTCGGATTGGCAGCTGGTCTCAAGTTTGTAGGATTCTTTTTTATTTTTCTGGCCTGGTATTCCATTAAATATAAAGAAGAACAACTGCAGAGACACAGATGGAGGGCCTCCCCTATAAACACAGTGAGTGAGATAGTTGGCAATGCTGGACCTCAACAGAACTATGCACGGACTAGATCCTGCCCGACTTTCAGTTCTCGTGGAGAACACAACGAGGGCATTAATTTGGCACGAGGAATGAATTGCATAGCTCAAACTTATCCTGGCCCCTTTTCAGAAGCAATAAATTCCTCAACTGAAAATGCATCAGAAGAATTCACTGCTGAGATGTAAACCCCAGGCTTGGTAATGTAAAATTTGGTTTTGTTGGTTGACTTGAATATGGCGCCTTGTGAAACACCTGTGCCTTCTTTTTTAATCTGAACACTAGATAATAAACCAACAAAAAAATGCAAGCAAACAAAGAATACTTGAGGGCTGGATACCTCAAAATGTTCCAAATTCCTATTTCTCCTCTCTGGATAAATGGATTTTTAATATCTGTGTTTGCAATTATTTTGGGTGTGTCCATCAAATGTTCGTGCTCTACATAAGGATGAAGTATTCTGAATTCCATGGGTCAATGGAAGAGTGACAGTCATTCATATAACTGTAGTCAGGACTGTGAGAAAAAGTTTAAATGTACTATAGATTTCGCATCTATCATAGTTTTTAGAGATGAGTAATTACTGTGAGTTCTGCTACAAAGCACAACTGAACGTGTTTAAACTATGCAACTTATTTGGATAAATATGTGCAGCATGTTCATTTCAAGTTTGCTTTTAAAGATTTAAATTCAACTCATTTTGAAAAGGACTATTTTTAGATATAAATGTAAGATTTACAAAAAGATATCATGTTTAAGTCCTGTTGATAATATGTTAAGCCATAGAAAAGATGTACATCAGGTGAAGTTTTCGACTAATGAAACATAATATCCTTATCCTGTAAAAATGTATGTTTGTTTTAATTTGATAGGATGTAGCATTTCTAAATGTAGTTTGCAGGCTATGAAGTCATAACTCTTGAGTGAAAAACTACAGTATTAGTTTGTGATAACATTAAGACTTAATAATCATACATATAGGGGCTATAACATACAGATTCATATTTTGTAATTACCTCTGCAGTTATCTGTTGTAGGTGGTTACTGTTAACCACAAATCCATATTTGGAAACACAGTAACCAGTTATATTTTGATTGGAAATGCTTGGCTATAGTTTGCAAATGCATGCAGATCGTTTTAAATTGATCTCTAGCTTCCCACTAATAAGGTGAAAAACGTAAGACTTTTGAAAGCTTCATTTCAGGATTGACCTAGTGCCATGCCAAACAAACCTCATATCAATAGCAAAGCAGATTTAAAAAAAATCTGTGTGGATTGATGGCAGGGTCATACAAAAAATGGTTGGCATGTCAGCAAATTTTCTCCAGCATCCTGTCACTGATTGTGCCATGTTCTTTATGGAGTCAGACACTGAGTCCAGAATCTTCCAGCATCAGATTGAATTATCTGCTAAGCATATTCCTTACACAAATATTGAGTAATTTGCCCCTCATGGCCCTCTTACTCATGTAACGCAATTTCATTTGAGGTTCTATGAGGAAAATAGAAGAGTCAGATGACTTTGCCCTTTAGGGGAAGAAGAAGACACAAAAAGCAATTCCACACCAGACCCACAGGCCATTACTTTGCATTTAACAATTCAAAATATGGTTTCAAGGAGGGAGTGCGAACATGTAAAAGTAAGAGATTTTTCCAATTTTATCTGCAGCCTTTTATCTGCAACCAGTTCTTCTTCTGCAACCTTAATTTGGAGACATTACAGCTACTTTCTGCCAGCATGTTAGCTATACTTTAATATGATTTCAGATGAGAAAAACAGCCAAAGCTGTATTCTGCTCTCAGGTGCACATCCTTAGGAAATTTGAATCAACTCCTCTGCAAAGCAGCACGTAGAAGATTCTGTCTTTTGTGAAGTTTGCATGATGATAAACAGGAGGAAGAAAGTGTTGTATGTACAGTAGAAGGAAATACCTTAAAATAGATATAAAACAATTTCCATCTGGCTCCATGAAAAAGGGATTTTATTATAACAAAATAAAACAAGTTCAGTGAAGGTCACATAGAATCAAATCCTGTTTCTATTGAAGTTAATGACAAAAAATCCTTTGGTATTAGTAGCCTCAGGCCTTGGCCGGTAGAGAAGATTCCTCTGTCCCTCTGTATTGCCAGTTTCCTCCCAACTCTTCCTGCTTGTCTTTGACAAGCATGTGAAGTTACTGCCTGTGCTGGCATCAGACTTGGGATGTATGTAAATATTGTTTAAATGGTTACCCATTTAAACTCCTCTAATGATATTGGTTAAACAGTTAACCGATGACACATACCTAGCGTGCGTGCATGTGTGTGTGTGTTTACTTCACGCTGCCCCATGTGCATGTGGGGCAGGTTGTCCCCCGCAGAACTTTCTGCCAAGAGGAGCCAGGCACCCCCTGTCTGGCGGCACCAGTATCTCCTTGCACCTTCCCTGTCTGCAGCCCAGGCAAGGGCTGTCCTGCCCTCCCACCTGGTACTCGTTCTCCCATCTGTGCTAATTTCTGTGCAGGTCAGGGGGGGTGGAGCCTACCCTGCATATCTCCAGCCTGGCTGCTGACTGCACTGTGCTGCTGCCACCAGTCATGCTGCAGAGGGGCCAGAGGGAGATGGGCTGGCTTCTACTTGCCCCCTCTTGGCAAACTTGCAAGTGACTGATCTGCTGCTGCCTGCCCTGGCTGGCACAGCACAGGTGCCTGGGGCCAGATGCAGCAGCATGGGGGGAAGCGGCTGGGGGAGGAGGTGGTGGCAGTCCCTGCCAGACAACATGGCCCCCTCCCTAGTCTCAGGTTAGCAGCAAGCTGCAGGGAGGGGGAGGTGGAGGCAGAGCTACATGCTGTGCCTAGCCTCCTTCCTGGGGCACTGTGCTGCTTTCCTTCCCTGCCGGACTGCATCCAGGCCTAAACATTAACTGTAATGCATTACTAGAATAAATATACTTATCATTTAACCTTTCACATCCCTACATCTGACCCTGGTCTAAATACTGATAGCTGTCTGTCTGTCTATCCATCCATCCTAACCATTCTTTGGTTAGTCTATAAAGTTCAAATCTACCTTTGCTTTCTACTTGACTTCAGACTCTCACAGCTAACTACATCTGTCTGAAATGTTGATTCCAGTCATTGCAGAGTGTCTTGATTAGTTTATCAGGTTATTTGGTTAGATGTGGTATCTTTTATCAGAACAACTGAGTAGTTACAAAAAACGTGTTTTCCAAGCTTGCAAGTGCAATCACTGTTCTTCAAGCATAGGGAGTCTCTGCTGTGCTAAACTGTTTGATTAGTTTGTATAGCTCTTGAGCCTTCAAGTATTCACAGAAAATAATTTCTTCGTACAACTAAGTATAGACAAATATCACTCACTAATGACTACTAAGTCACTCCCTGTTATTCTTTTGTCATTAATGCTTATTGAAGCTAAAAGGAAGCCTGAAAAATTTCTTCATGTCCAATATCCAGGCAGGTTCTATCCCTGATGTAGAGACCTGCTTTGGGATATGTAGCCATCTGCACCAGCCTTTACAACTTATACCCATTGCTCCAGGAATAAACCCAGTTGGAGACTTGATGCAGAAATTATTGTGTGAGGTTCTTTGTTTTTGTTATTGCTGGAGTTCAGAATGGGTTATTAAAATGGTAACTCCTAGCTTCATTCTGTGAGACAGAGTGTACCTCCCCTCTTTTTTCTTATTAAAAAAAAATCCTAAAAACTTTGTAGTGGTTCTTTCCTTCTCATGTCCTTGTGACAAGATATTTAGCAGAATTCACACATTCCTTGGAATCTGACAGGGCCACGCTGAATGTTTCTATTATGGCCTCAAACACGCAACCTCTGGGTGGTCAGCCACATGCTTTAGTGCCCATACCACCCCAGCCCCAGTTTAAAATGGTGAAACTAGCAAATAGGTATAAGGGTCCTGCAACACGTGTACTAAGATCTTGTCAGATTTAAGGGGAACAGCTAAAAAAACTAGGCGACTGTGGCATAGATGCCTACACAGTCAGATGGATTGCAGATTGGCTGAGGGGTCGCACTCAGAGGGTGGTGGTGGATGGGTCATATTCGACCTGGGGGGAGGTGGGTAGCGGAGTCCCCCAGGGCTCGGTCCTGGGGCCTGCGCTGTTCAATTTCTTCATCAGCGATCTGGATGATGGGGTGGAAAGTAACCTGTTTAAATTCGCTGATGACACCAAAATTTGGGGGGAGGTGAGCACGCTAGCAGGGAGTGAGAGATTGCAGAGGGATCTGGATAGGTTACAGGGGTGGGCTAACAGGAACAGGATGCGTTTCAATACGGACAAGTGCAGGGTGCTGCACTTGGGCAGTAGGAACCAGCAGCACACTTACACAATGGGGAACTCCCTACTCGAGAGCACGGAGGCAGAAAGAGATCTTGGAGTCATTATTGACTCCAAGATGAACATGGGCCGACAATGCGAGGTCATGGTTGGCAGGGCTAACCGGACCTTGTCGTGCATCCACAGGTGCATCTCGAGTAGAGCCAAGGAGGTGATCCTCCCCCTCTACGCGACGCTGGTCAGGCCACAGCTGGAGTATTGTGTCCAGTTCTGTGCGCCCCATTTCAAGAGGGATGTGGACAACATGGAGAGGGTCCAGAGGAGGGCCACCCGCATGATCCGGGGACAACAGGGCAGACCCTACAGTGAGAGACTGCGGGACCTGAACCTATTCAGCCTCCACAAGAGAAGGCTGAGGGGGGACCTGGTGACCGTCTATAAACTCACTAGGGGGGACCAGAAGGGTTTGGGGGAGACGCTGTTTCCCCTAGCGCCCGCTGGCATAACAAGGAGTAATGGGCACAAGTTGATGGAGAGGAGGTATAGATTGGACATCCGCAAGAACTACTTCACAGTTAGGGCGGCTAGGAGCTGGAACCAACTTCCAAGGGAAGTGGTGCTGGCCCCTACCCTGGGGGTCTTTAAGAAGAGGCTGGATGCCTACCTGGCTGGACTCATTTGAGTCCCGTTTCTTGTTTTTGGGGTTTTTGTTGTTCTCCCACCCTGGCGGGGGGTCGGGCTAGAAGATCTACTAGGTCCCTTCCGACCCTTAATCTATGAATCTATGAACAGTGACCTCTGTATAGACCAGTGCAGTGTAAAGTCAGGGCAGAATCAGGCTTCCAAGTATTGCAGCAGCAAATGCAAATTACAGAGTAAATCTCTTATTCCCTCCTCAATGAGTGAATAAGCAGACACGTCCTTCAACTATTGAAGCTTTTGGATTAATTCCAAGGAAACTAAAGCTTGTTGAAACTGAGCATTTGTGCTCCATGAGCATTTCTGACCCTTCAAATTGTAATGAATTTCAAAAAAAAAATTTTAAGTACCTTGTAAAACAAAATTTCCAGAAAAATTATTATAGAAAAACTGAAACCGCCTTATTGAAGTACTTCTTTTCAGCTTTTTTAACTTTTAATTTATCATTTACACAATGATGAATTATTTTTGTATAAATTTAAAATGTTGTTTCAATAATATTTTATAAAATATTAAGACAACAATAATGTATTTCCACATTTAAGCTTTATTTAATCAACATTGTCTGAAACAAAAGCCCTGTTCCCTTGAAAAATGTAACTAGCTCTTAAAGACAGAAACATAGAAAAGTAGGTTTGGAAGTACTGCTTAATGCATGATCATGCCTGACTAAACCATCCCAGTTAAGTGTCTGTTTAATCTACTCTTAAAAACTTCTAAGGATGGGGATTCAACAACCTCTCAGGGTAGCCTGTTCCAATGCTTAATCAACCTCAGAGTGAGAGGTTCATTCTTCCTAATCTCCAACCTAAATTTCCCCTGCTGAAATTTAAGACCATTGCTCC